TCTGTTGGTCAGTCAATGACAGCTTTAAATCTTTATAACTGTGAATCACAGATGGAGCACATAGAAATTATGCACTATTTATCCGTGAAGCACTCATGACCATGCTGGGATCCAAAAAAAAATAATATATTAAATAATAAATTTAAACCAGTAATACAGGACCAAATAATTACAGCTTCGGTACTTAACAACTTGAATAGTTAACTGCATCTTCTAATCATTTAAAAAGGTGAATTTGTCAAGCGTCATAATTCAAAAATAAGTTTTATGCTGATTTGAATACATTTAATACATACAATATTTTTTTACTGCAATGCGGTAACATTTCTTTTACTAAATTTTAATTTTAAATGTATTTAATTAAAATGACAAGTTTTACTGTAATACAGTAAAAATGTATCATAGTAATGAGAATCACAGTTGAGAATAATGGTGATTTTTCTTTATTTTAAAAATTTAAAAAAAAAAATTTTTTTTTCAAAAAGTTAAAATTTTTACTGTAATATGGTAAAAAAAATTGTACTACGGTAATGAAAATCACAATTGAGAATAGTGTTTTTTTTTTATAACTTTTTAAAAAATAAAATGTAAAATTACAATAATTTTACTGTAATATGGTAAAAAAAAATTGTACTGCAGTGATAAAATCACAGTTGAAAATAATGATGATTTTTTTATTTTAAAATAAATGTTACCATTTTATTGTAATATGGTAAAATTGTACTACGGTAATGAAAATCACAATTGAGAATAATAGTGATTTTTTTTAAATAAAAATGTAAATTTTTTTTTTTAAATTACAATAATTTTACTGTAATATGTTTTTTTTTTAAAGTACTACAGTGATAAAATCAGTTGAGAATGGTGATTTTTCTATTTTAAAATAAAATGTAAATGTTACAATTTTTATTGTAATATGGTAAAAAATTAACTCAAGTAATGGCAATTACAGTTGAAAATAATGGTGATTTTGTTTATTTTAATTTTTTTTTTACGTTTTACTGTAATATGGTAAAAATGGTTCAACAGTCATAAAAATTACAACTCAGAATAATCTTGATTTTTTTTTCAATTATTTTAAAAATAAAGTTTTTTTTTTTTTTTACTGTAATATGTAAAAATAAAAAAAGTACTAAATTAATTAGGAACATAGTTGAGAAAAAAGATGCTTTTATTTATTTTTTATTAAAAAAATTATTTAAAAAATAAAACTTTAAAAAATGTGTCCAGATGCATGAATGAGGAAACAAAAAAAATCCAATAATAGTCCTAAAATAAGTTTCATTTTCTTTTCGGCAAACGTGACCTAGACATGTTTTCACGAGATCTATGATACAGCAGCTCGACATGCATGCGAGTAACTTCCTCATTTCAGCCTCTTCTGGGAACAAGCACAAGCATCAAGCCCGCATACCATTCAGTGTGAACTCTTTCCTCCACTGTAAGCTCTCGTCGATCATCTTTAAGGTGTCCTCCACAACAAAGTGTCTCCATGCGAGGTAGCCTTCGACCAGAGCGTCGTCTCTGAAGAGTCTCTCCACGTCTCTGCTGTCATATTTGTCTTGGGACTCTGCAGGATTGTTAGTAAACGCAATGCAGGGTTTGAATTAGAGACAGACCAGGAATAATAGACTGATTAATAACTATCAGTTCCCACAACATACAGTATATGCATATATATATATATGTGTTTTTTTTAAGTGTGTGCTGTCACACGATTAATCGTGATTAATCGCATCCAAAATAAAAATGTTGTTTACATTATATATGTGTGTGTGCTGTGTATATTTACTAAGCATATATAAATACACACACATGCATGCATATATTTCAGAAAAAGATGTTTATATTTAAATATATGTAAATGTACATATTTTCAAAATATATACTGTATGTGTGTATATTTATACAGACATTATAAATAAACAGCACACACACATATATAGTATGTAAACAAAAACTTTTATTTTGGAAGCGATTAATCGCGATTAATCGTGCGACCGCACTACAAGCATCAGGACATATTTTAAAGCGGTATATGAGAATATGATTTCAAACACAGTCCGGGAAGACTGTAAGGCTATGCACCTACTGCTATTTATTCCTTTTACAACAGCAAAAAACAATATAATTATTAAAACATAATCAGGTTTTCTGCCTTGACAGCTGAATCCAACAGCTGTGATATCAAATATTACACATCAGCTCTCGTAATGAACCTTCACCATAACACACGACCCATAAAAGTCTGAAAAGTCACTGTCGATATTCTAATATTTAATATTAATATTAATAATGCATGCTATCGTGGAGATCACAACACTTGAGAACTTAGCGTGCTGCTAACTCACCTCCAACACACTCGCTTTTAAACCTCTGCCGTGTCTCTTCGATCTTGCTCTCGATGTCCTTTCGGAGAGCGTTGTAAACATTAATTATAAATCCATTTCAGATGAGAATATAACATGTAACGCTTCTTTTGTTTAGCTGTCTTATTACCTGCTCTGATTCCGCCTGTCCTGCCTCCGCCATGTTAGAGCGCTCTGTACGTCAGCAGTGGCCCGAGCATCAATGGAATCCACCGCTGACTCCGCGAAACTGGGCACACGCTGACGCCATGTTGGCTCGGACATGTCAAACAAACCTTTGAACGGGCTCTCGCAGCAAGATAAAGTTCCTCTGATACGCTCCGGCAATTGAAAGCAAATAATCACATCACGCGCAGAGTCCAAAAGCAGTAAAAGCATCTGACGACATCACGTATTTGTGAAACACTGATTGAATTGTACGACTGTCTCTTTAAGAAACAACGCGAACGTGATGTGCGTCAGATGCGCGCGCAGTTTCTTTGAGGAAGAGCGGTAGCGTTTAAAACAGATTAAAAAGTAAAAACAACAGAGGTAAGTAAAGTATGAACGCATTTTGTTATAAGATATGAATTCCTTATTACCCAGGGTATCCCAAGTTAATGTTGTATTAATATTAAAGGCAGAACTTCACTGTAGTATCAAGTTTGCGTGCCTGAGGTAACCTTACACTGGTTGGTTAACCGTTGCTTAATAGTGCATATATATATATATATTAGTATTTACAATTATTTTCACTTTTAAATTAATTTCTACAGCAGTTATTTTCACGATACAAATATAAATGACTAGTATTCGTGTTATTAGAATTCAGCTCGAGGAAGTTAAGTCTAATCTTTACCCCTATAAAGCCTACTGTATGCATTTCTAAAGCCTCCAAATGATTAACATGAGCTAAACTTTGCGTTCTGCTGTCAAATCTGAAATCTTGACTGGTTTTGATCAAGTAAGCGTCAGAATAAGTGTAGTAATATCTCCAGATGAACACTTACTGGACTGAAGCAGCTCAGCTTTAAGTTACTTGATTCTCCAGCAATCTTGCTTTAGAGTCTCAAATCTGAAGATCATTGAAGAACTGTAACATTTATAATGAATGTGTTATATGGTGCATATATTTAGCAAAATGCCCCTCTCTACAGTTTATTTTTCTGGCTGCCAAACGAGTTTACGGTCACCGAATATGTGTTTTTCTGAGGTAAATGTGACGTTACATTGTTTACAAGCCGTTATATTGACATCTTTGCGCGGCTGAAACACTGGCTGAGCGATTACATGGGACAGGATACGGATTGTAACTCTTTTATCTTGCCTTCGGATGCTTAGTCATGTTTATTTTGTGCTATAACTAGTAATAAAGAGGAGGAGACGATCAGTTCACTGAGGCCCTACAGCGATCACTTCACATTAAACAGCGCCAAAACGGCATTTATTGTATGAATACTGCAATACAGTGGACATCATTTGAAATCTGAGACTTTGTTTCATATTAAAAGTACCAACGCACAATGCTTATTGCGATTTATTGGATGGGAGGTGCCCTTCAACGTTCCGTCCATTAACTGAAAACAGGCTAGACTAATCGATTCTTGGGATTTAAGAATCGATATTGTTCAGTAAAAATAATATCTATATTTTTTTACCCAGCCCTAGTGAGTATTGTGAGGGTTGAAAGGCACTCTATGGTGATATTGACCCAAATATCAGCATCTGCAGAAAGTTTGAGTCTCTGAATAAAACTGAGCTGTTTTTTTCCCTCCATATTCTCACAATATCAGACTATATGAGCCATAGAAGAATGATGCATCAAATATGAAACTCAACAAAAAATCACATACGCAAACTTTTTTTAGACTTTCTTTTATGTTTGCTCTAAAGTTTTTCAGTAAACTGTTTCAGATTGTCAGATTGCTTATTTCATATGTCAGGCTTTACTTGCTTAATCCACCAACTTTCTGATTGTTTTCAACAGTGAACCAAGTTTTTTTTTAAGCTTTACAAGTTTGGACACCAAACCGAATGACCCGAATCCTGACGCCAAACGGACTCGGATTGCACCAAACGTCCCCAGTAAATGACTTGGTGTTATGTGCAAAATCTTTGGAAATATGTTGTTGAATTTCCTTGGAGATCGAGGTTTCTTTTCACTTCTCCAGCTTTTCATTTGAGTTGACTTCAAATCTCAAGGCGATGGCAGCAGTACGGCACGTCGAAATGCTTGCGGTTAAAGGAGAAGTGCTTGCTTTCCAGTGCAAGAGTTTTAGCTCGAAAACCAGAGATCATCGCAAAGGCTCGGAGGTTTCATTCTACAGTCTGTCCTTCGCCCGAGACTCGCAGAGCTTCTCCATTAGAGATCGTAACTTGTCTCTGATTCACAAGGACGGCTCTGCAGAAGCGGACGTTGTTCATTGTTGCTCCGCTCTGGATATTCAGCAGAGGCAAAAAGTGCCTTGTGTTTTACTGAGACTGTGCAAGAAGAGGACGTCTGCTTTTAAGTACATGCTTTACTCCATATGCACATCCACCGATGCGAAACTTCATGCTGAGTTTGTGTTGCCGTACGAGATGAGAGATAATATTTCAATATTGCTCGGCCCTGCATTGATTTGGAGTCATGAAAACTCAGTTTTTTATACATCCTCGCAAACCAGTGGAGTGAAAGAAGTGCCAATTCCCATGACGGTCAATTTTATTGGCGAACTTCCTCTTCGCCGAAGAAAGCTAGTGATTCAAGGAGCCCAAAATGTGCCAAGTGATCAATCTAAAGTCAAAAACATACTGTATTTCATAGAAGATGGAAGAACCTTGAGTTCTGCATGTCTTGTACCTGATGCCTACAGCTCTGTGATCCAATGCATGATGGTTCTGTCGGCGGAAGAATTCGACGGTGGTTGGAGATCGGCTGTTCTGGCGGCCACAAGCATGAAACAGCTGGTTCGTTTTGAGAACGGACTTCCTCTGGATGTGTGTCTCCTTCCTTACGAGCAACCGCTGAGTATTCAGGTGATTCACACTCTGAAAAACGACGGTCTCGTTGTCGTAACCTTCAGTCAGGGAAACGTCTGCGCTGTGTGGAAAGACACTTTCCAGGTGAGTGTTTATTTGTGGTGTTGAAGTGTTAAAGGAGTAGTTCATTCAATTAGCTAAAAGATCATCAGTGTCTCAGCAATGGATGCTCTGCAGTGAATGGGTGCCGTCAGAATGAGAGCTGATAAAAACATCACAAGTAATCCACAGCACTCCAGTCCATCAGTTAACATCTAGAGAAGCCAAAAGCTGAAACAAATCCAGCATTAAGACATTTTTAACTCAAATACCATAGAGTCCATAATCCACAATAACGCTTCCTTCAGTGAAAAAGTGTTCTGGTCTGAATCGGGAGAGAAATCTGCACAGATCAAGCAGCGTTTAAACAGCTCTAAACTAGGGCTGCAACAACTAATCGATAAAATCGATTATTATCGATAATGAAAATCATCAACAACTATTCTCATTATCGATTAGTCGGGTCTGCCCACAGTGCACGTACAACTGCAGCCGGTCGCATCAAATTACAGCACTGAATAACGCATTTCAATGGACAAAAATGCATTTAAAAATATTGGAGGAAACAGAATGAGCTCCTGCAGCAAAAGTATGTGATCCCTCAGCGCAAAACAATTCAGTTAACGGTCGTATCCTTATCTGTAAATGTCACAAATTCACACAAGCCTTTCCATTTTTGCATAGAGGCCCACCCTGACAGTCTGCGTTAAGTTTAAATATTGGTTTCACTTTATTTTGATGGTCCCTTTAACACATTCTGTTGACTATAAGTAACGTTGCACCTTCATGTTTACTAACTCTCATTAGAGTGTTAGTAGAGTATTAGTAGACTGGTAGGGTTAGGGCTAGAATAAGTTGACATGTATTTGCAAAGTTACTTGTAGTCAGTAGAAACTCTGGGGATCCATCACAATAAAGAGTTAGCTGATATTAAGCAGACAGTCTACTAATACTCTAATGAGAGTTAGTAGATATGTAGGTGCAACATTAATTATTGTCAACAGAATGATCAAAAGGGACCATCAAAATAAAGTGTTACCGGAATCTATTGAAAGAGCACATTAAACAGACGGAAGACAGAGAGGGAGACAATATTCGGCGCAAAAACATTATTGTGCTGAAATATCTGTTGTTGAACATTACATTTAGGTTTAAAAGTCAACATGCAGTGTGAGTAATTTATGAGAGTAGGAACTGTGAAGGGACAGCAGCAGATGCTTTTACAGGATAAAGAAATGACAGTAAGAGGAGACTGACTGAGATCAAAGTGCACGCGACGCGTGTTCCTGCAGAGCATAACTGTGATTTTATTCGTCTTTATTATCTTTATTATTTACATTTTTGATCTAGAGATTTAAACTATATTTACTATATAGCCTACAGTGATTAACAAATATATTAAAACAAATGTATGTAAGGGCTTTAACCAATTTTGTAAGGTCTGTGCCACTGCTGCTCTTAACTAAGAGTATTGGTAATAATTACCAAAATCATTTTTTAGCTTTCTGTATGGGTTAGTCCTCCAATATGCATAAGCTCTTTAGTAACAGTAGTAGGCTATTTTTAACGCTATAATATAATTATTGCTGTTATCTATGAAGGAAAGGCAGAAAAAAAAGGAAGTCAAGTGCTTTATAGTGTTTTTTTTTTTTTATTCAGATACCCAATTCATCAAAAAGACTAGACTGAAAGACTGAATGTTTTCAAAGCATTCAGTTGGCACTTTTTTTTTAAGGACATTGGGCAGAATGTGGAATAGTGTGTTATTGTCAGTAAAGTTAAAATAAAGAAAATATTGTATTTTTTATCTGATTAATCGGAAAAATAATCGCCCAACTAATCGATTATCAAAATAATCGTTAGTTGCAGCCCTACTCTAAACAAATATGTGGCTGGATTTTGATGCGAGAGACAACAGCAGATGCACTTTTTCACTGAAGGAAGCGTTATTATGAATTATGGACTCATATTTTGTACTTGTAATAATTATGGAATTATTATTTTGGCCAGAAGCAACGGTTAGAAGTTATAAACGTCTTAATGCTGGATTAGTTTCAGCTTTTGTCTTCTCCAGATGTTAACTGATGGACCGGAGTGCTGTGGATTATTGTGATGTTTTTATCAGCTGTTTGGACTCTCATTCTGACGGCACCCATTCACTGCAGAGACACTGATGCAATGCTACATTTCTACAAATCTGATTAAGAAAAAATTCCTCTTCATCTTGGATGGCCTGAGGGTGAGAATTGTCATGCAAATAATGTCACAATGTGCTAAAAGACGAGCCTGTTTTCTTTTTGTTTTGGATTTTGAACGCAAATAATGATCTGGACGTGTTCCTGACAGGCTTTGCCAGATTATGCATTTGGCAGATGCTTTTATCCAAATGAGCTTTCATTGCATTTCATATTTCATTAGCTCATGCATTGCCCTCTAATTGTAGGTTAAGCTGTTATCATCATAAAACAGTGATTATAATGTTCTTTTTGATGTCTTTTTAATAGAGAATATTTCTAGGACAGTATTTGTTGTCTAAAGCAGTGGTTCTCAGCTCTTTTTTGACTCCCTATTGTTTGAGACGATATTTGAAGGTATTTCTGCTGTAAAGCTATAGTGACAAAGCTGCTAATTTTTCAAATATTTGTATTTACAGAAACTAGGATTGGCAATATATTAAAATAATTAAGGCAAGACACTACAGGCAATTTGGAGAGATTTGGCTTTTTTAACATGCTCTTTCAGACTAGTGGAAACAAAACATCCAAAATACACATTGTGCACAAGTGTTTATTTTATTGGACTTTATCTATTTCAGTGATTTCAATTACAAAACATCTTTACACGTTTGCATCTCCACTTCAGCAGCACTTTACACACACCAAACAGTTCTATTCCTGTCTATGCTCTGAATGGTCTTACTGAGGGGTTTGTTCATATTATTTATCATTCACATGATTTTATGCAACATTTTAATCATAAAAAACTTGGTAGAAATGTGGTTTTTTTTTCTGGCTGTTGACAGTATTTTCTTATTTATGATAAAAAAAGAGAAATCCCAAAAACTTTAACTCTAACACAGTATGTCAACAAAATCAAACAAGCATTTTGATTTTTGAACCTGAATTTATCCCATATTTATCAACTAGAAATATTTGCAAGCTAATGCATATTTAAATAAATGTCTCATTTACATATTTTAAAAAAAAACTGAAGATTTTTTATAATCCTATTCACCTGGGGTGTCTTGCATTAAACTAAAATTATTTAAGTTTTAATATTTTAATTTAATTATAGGATATGGTTTTTAAAATATTTATATATATATTAAAAAAAAATTCTCAGCTGTAATTTCCACCTGGTAAAATTTTCTGAACTTGACAAACCCAGAAAAATGTATATTCATTTTGGAAATATGTTCTCAACTTTTACAGGTAATATTCATTTTCATTATTTTTATTTTTTTTCAGGTCTAGAAATTCACTTTTAAAATTCCCTCAGATATTATCCAGGTTTTACAAGACGTTGTGATGTAAAATAAAAAAACATAAATAAAAATGCGGTTTTTTTGGAGGGACACATTTAAATCGTCCCCACAACGTCAGCTTATTAGGTCTTTTACTTTATTTTATTGCTCATTTTATGTCATTTTAAGCCACTTTGTGGCCCCATTGGCAGTGTGCTGAGGCTCTATAGTGGGTCCCGGGCCCCTGGTAGAGAACCACCGCTCTGTAAAGCATCACAAAATGCATTTGGTGACCTCAACAGCAACTTCAGTTTGCTGTTATGCTTCTTTTAAGAGGTTTTTAATAAGCGATAAACAGAAAGGAGACTGTCAATCGCAGCACAGATGTTCACTGTACACTTACTGATGGACGATATTAAAAGCTGTTTGCGGGACTTGCATTTAAAGGTTACCGTTCGTGCCGGAAACATTTCAAAGCAGCAGGAAATGTCAGATTAGTTATTATCTGTTGTGATGCATCGCTGCGTGTTTATCCAGGAGCTTGTTGAAGCGACGTCCTGTAAGAGTGTTCTCACAGTGACTGGAGTCTGTTTGAGGTCTAATACAGGTTTCTGTTGAAGATGCATTAATTCTGTTAATAATGCATAAATAATAAGCTTGTTTTTAATATTTTTGGGGGCTTTTATGCCTTTTTTTATTGCCGTGAGCACAGTTGTGCTATATGTCGGCGCATTAACCACTAGGCTATCGGTGCCCACAATACGTTTTTTTTATACCTACAGTATATAGACCTTAGTCAGAAAGCCTGTTAAAGTCATTGTGATATTTATGATGTCTAATTTTACGTTTTCGTTAATGGGTGAGGATCCTCCTTTATTTGAATGGATTCTAACCATTTCAACTTCTCTAGAACCTTTTTTCTTCGGTTGACTCATAATAAAACATTAACAAGATAAACATTAAAAACCTTTTGTAATATAGTTTTTCTTTTTACACTTCTAACCTGGATTAAACCTCTGCATGAAAAGTAGTTAAATTACAAACGAAGCCTAATTTTATATATATAGTGCTCACTGATGCTCTAGAAGGAAAAACCATGCAATAAGAGCAAAATGAAAACTTTTTGAATTTGAAGATCAGGGTAAATTTAACTTATTTTGTCTTCTGGCAAACATGTATCTTCTGTAGCCTCTGAAGGCAGTACTAAATGAAAACAATATGATATTTAGGCAAAATAAGAAAAATGCACACATCTCCATTCGGTTCAAAAGTTTTCACCCCCGGCTCTTAATGCATGGTTTTTCCTTCTGGAGCATCAGTGAGCGTTTGAACCTTCTGTAATAGTTGCATATGAGTCCCTCAGTTGTCCTCAGCGTGAAAAGATGCATCTCAAAATCATATAGTCATTGTTGGAAAGGGTGCAAATACACAAAAATGCTGGAAAACCAAAGAATTTGTGGGAGCTGACGGATTTTTCTGAAGAACAGCAGAAAGTTTTAACTGTTCAGGACAAACAAGGGACTCATTAACAACTATCACTAAACAAAAAAACACAGCTGTGGATCATTAAGGTAACAACACCGTATTAAGAAAACTTTTGAACGGGGTAATTTTTTCTCTTATTCAGGTCAGTACTAAATAAACAATAACATGCATTTTGTAAGATCCCTTTTATTTTGGTAAAATAATTAACATTTTGCAGATTCTGAAAGGGGGATGTAAACTTTTGACCTCAGCTGTATATAGCTACCAATGCTAACTAATGGCGTTCTTCTGTGTTTCAGGTGGCGGGGTGTTGGACAGGAGTGCGTCTGCTGCTCGTTGATGACTTTATGGGATGCGGGACGGATCAGATGCTCTTAGTGTTTGAGAGTTCATCAGCAGAGCCACTTAGCAGCTTTCTACTCACTGATCTGTGTGCCGTCACTTACTCTGTGCGTCAACAGCTTCATCTTCATCTATCAGTGCTTCTCAACTGCTTTTGCTTCAGGACCAAGCATTATATATTGCACTTTCAATTTGATCTAGTCTTTAGAGTTTGATTGCATGCACATAATACATAAAATAGATGCACGTAAAAATAACAACTTAAGTATATTTATTTTGATTTATTAATTATGCATGATTAGTTGTAGTTGTTTGTTTGCATTTAACACAGTTTCTCCCTGGTGTCTGCAGTATGAACAGACTAGATGTGCAACACATCGGTTGAGAAGCACTGATCTCTGTTTCTAATGCGTCTGATTGAGTTTGCTGTGTGTTAAAACTATCAATGCTCTGTAGTGTTGCCGATCAGACGGTGAGGAGCTGAACTCATCAGACGCAGCGCAGGAGAATCACCTTCTTACGGTTCAAGCCTTAGAGTCCAGACTGCAGGTAATTAACAGAAGCACCTGCTCGTGTCTATGAGTCTACAGACTCATAATCAGTTTCCTTCTCTCAACATGGGGTCAGGAGAGCTTTCAATCAATAAATGGGAAAAAAAAGTAACTGGCGCTACTTATTTGAAAAAGTAACTTCTTGTAAATTAAAAAGTAATGCGTTACTTTACTAGTTACCTGCAAAAAAGGTAATCTGATTAAGTTACTCGCATTACTTGTAATGCATTACCCCCAACACTGCATGTTAGTACTTTAAAATGACAAATTAGTACATTTTGAAATGGTACCACCTAGGGATGTAACGATTAACCGCGAGCCGGTTGAAAATCAATTCAAACGTGGCGATTCAAATTGGTTGAGATGCTAAACAAATCGTGATTCAATTAGGGGTAGGAGTTTATACAAGTGTGTGTCTGAGGGGAACTTACTGTCTTTCGATGGTATTTTTTCTCTGTATAATGCATATTAAAGTTCATAAGTGTAGCGCTGCTGTGTTTACAGCGGAAACCAAGAAAACGCTTTAAGCGTCACCTGCTGGCAGAGAGTGCATCTGCGTCTCGTTCAGCTCGTCTGCTGTTTCGGTTTCATGCAGATATTTTGTATGCATAGTTTCACAAAACTGAAGTCAAACCATTCTGTTTTTGCTTCAAATTTCGAAATGATACAATCTAATTTAGATTAAAAACTGCTCGTGTTGCATGTGTGCAGCATCTTTGTTTGGATCATGATTAAAATGCAGTGGTATTTTGAGCACAGACAAAGCCTTATTTTGTTTATATGAAGAGATTTATTTTATTTGTGTTAACGTCTTATATTTCACAAAGAAACGCACAGCATTTTGTCCAAGCAATAATAAAAGGAAACATTTAATTTAACATTTGTCTTAAATCTCATTTTGTTAAAAACAAAATCGTGAATCGAATCGTGAGTTGAGTGGATCGTACATCCCTAGTACCGCCCCAGTGACAGTTTTGTACCTTTTTCTGAGAGTGTGGCATTGAAGCTGGATTATTCCTCTCAAATATAACATGCATGGTTGACTGTTATTGGTTTGCTGTGTCTTTAGAGCGGCCTGAGCGGCCTTGAAGACCTTCAGAGAGACGTGGAGGTCAAAGACAGACTTCTACAGCAGTCATTAGTGGCTTTAACTGATCTGGTGTCAGGCAGAGAACATGCAATCTCCTCTCCAGAGCAGGTTCTTCAAACTTTCATAATAAAAATGGAGTAAAAGTGCTTGAGATTAAATTAGTGGTCAACAGTTTAGCACTCTTTAGATCCGGTTTGTCTGTGAATGTCGCAGGAGGGGCTTGTTTCTCTGTGGGATGAAGATGATGATGATGATGGTGCTGGAGATGAAGAGGATGCTGGGATGCAGACTGAATGCGCTGAGGCTCCTCTGAAGATGCACAGAGTTTGGCAAAGAGTCATCGGACAGAGTTTGATTGTCGGTGTCGTTCTGACGACAACAAGTAACACGTATGTGAGATTTACTCTTCAAATAATCAAGGCTTTTTTTTCACTAAAGCAAGAAATATTGAGGTGCTATTATAGTTTTTATTAATAGTTTGAATTAGTTTTTATATATATATTTAGTTTTTTTCCTAAGCTTTTTTGTTTTTATTTTATTTTTTATATCCAGATACAGTTTTTATTGTTTCAGTTCTAGTTATTTTAGTACATCAAGTGGTAACTAAATGAAAATGAAAAATGTTTATAACAAATCTTGATTGATTGATTATATATTCGCAGAATGTAAAGTATATTTTCTCACAATTCTAAATCTAATCAGCTAAACATGACTGTAAGGCGAGAAGTTAAGATATTATAAACCTAAACCAGGGTGTCCGTGGGTCCTTAAAAAGTCTTAAAGGGGTCCTATTATGCTCTTTTACAAAGTCTTGATTTAGTTTTGGGGGTGTACTAGAACATGCTCTCATGCTTGGTGGTTCGAAAAACGCATTATTTTTCACATAATTTACATTATTAAAATACCTTTCTCCCCAGCCTGGCACAAACGGCTCGATTAGTTCCGGCTTTGATGAAGGTCCGCCTTCCGAAAAACAAAATGTGTTGTGATTGGTTAGCTGTCCCGGTGCGTTGTGATTGGCGAACAGCTTAGACGGTGTTTCAGTACTGCCACGCCCCTTGCTCCGTCTTTCAACAAAAGCTTTTTGGCGAATCCGGCAGGCACTGTACTCCCTCATGTTGTGGAAGCTGTCCTCAGTAAATGCGCAGCCCACAATAGTAAATTGGGGTTATAATGCTCAGGAACAGAGTTAAAAATAAATTGCAACCACTGTTTCCTGACATCATCTGCTTTCGGAAGCCCATACAAAGACGTTTGAGCACGGAGGTGAAAAAAACAGCGTTTCAGGCGGTTGCGCACCGGACGAGAAGCGCAGCGTCACGCCACATCTTTAAAATTCATATACATTATTTTCTATGAGTGTAGGCACACCGGCGATGCCGTTCGGCGTTTATCCGTGGTGCCCAGCTACGTCGTGTTATACTTGTAAGAATTGTTCTAGACATGCTGAAAATTTGACGCTACAGCACAGCAGCTCTTCTTCTTGGTTTTCTCTGATGCACTAACTCTGCAGCAGCTCTTCTTCTTCGTCTCGTCTGATGCGCTCACTCAACCAAGCGTTCTAACCACAACCTCACCCCTCGCCCCTCCCCAAACATTCACATTTCTGTAGGCGGGAATTATTTGTAATGATATTCTAATAAGCCGCTTTGTGATATCACAAAGCCCGGAAACCAAACGCTGTAGTCCAAACGAGCCGTTCGTTGTAGTTCTTGAAAAGGGATTTTTTTAAAAACGAAATATCTCCCTTTGGAGTGGACTTTGAGATTTGTAACTTTCTAGATCTTTTTTATGCCAAAACATACACACTACACACTGACTAAAATTAAAAAAGTGAAAAAGCATAATAGGACCCCTTTAAAATGTCTTAACGTTTTCCTAATAAAATGCCTTAAAAATTCGTAATATCTTTTAACGTTTTCCATTAAACACCGTAACATTCGCAGAATACAGGTCGAACTAACTTCTTTGTGTACATAATGTTCTCAATAATAATAGTAATAAATATAGGTCGAGCTACAGTTAGCTGACCACCAGCCTTCTAGCTAGTTTTAATGTCTTTTAACGTTTTCCATTAAACACCGTAACATTCGCAGAATACAGGTCGAACTAACTTTTAAGGTACATAATGTTCTCAATAATAATAGTAATAAATATAGGTCGAGCTACAGTTAGCTGACCACCAGCCTTCTAGCTAGTTTAAAATGTTTTTGGGGTTTTTTCTACTTGCCTGACCGGACAAACAGCCTGATTAAAACTTAAGTGACCAAAAAAAAATAACCAATGAAGCATCGAAATTAAATAATGATTCTTCTGATTTTATTGCATTCAACGTGAACAGGGATTGATAATGGATAGTGTATTTCTGGTATCAAGGCGCGCTGCCTGTCTCTTTGTGAGAGACTTCAAAACAAATGAGCGTAACAGCACACATAAAGAAACTCAGAAGAAACACACTGAGGTATAAATTCAAAATGTTGTTTATTCATAACATGATATAGATCAGTAACATACCAAGGGAGATGTTTTGCTGAATATTCTCACGATTGCAAATGTTACATTGATTTTAGTTCAATAAACAAGTAGTTAAGATAAGTAGATAAGTTACTTGCATTTTAGACACAATATTTACTGTTTTGTTCCGTTTCACCAACGAAAATAGTTCCAAACAAGGACCTACTGGTAGTTTATTATGTTGAAAAGTATGCATTTCCCCCAACATTTTTTGTTTGTTTATTCATAAATGTATTTAAAACATTAATCTCATAACATTATTTATTGTAGTTGCAATTTTGCAGTGTAAATAGTTTAATCTGACTGGTAACAGCCCTATAGAATTTATTGATATATTGTAATAATTTGACAAAAAAAAAAATATGCCTTTATAAAGGTAAATAAAAATATGCAGATTTAAGTATGTAAAAGCTGATAGAACACTGATGAAAATATTGCTTCAGAATAATTGATTACACCACCAGAAATCTTGGTGATGTGGTACTTTTGTGGGAATATTTTGTGTGGAATATTGCCTGCTGATATGAAAAGTTCACTGTATATCGTAATAAATAATAAATATAATTTATGACAGTGATGAAATGTTTTTCTTTTTACATTAAACGCATTAAATATTACATATATGTATGTAATATAATGTGTATTTCCATTACAGGTTTAGGTCTTAAATTTCATATTAGGTGGTATTAAAAAAAGCCTTAAATTTCACTTTCGTAATAATAAATATAATTTATGACAGTGATGAAATGTTTTTCTTTTTACATTAAACGCATTAAATATTACATATATGTATGTAATATAATGTGTATTTCCATTACAGGTTTAGGTCTTAAATTTCATATTAGGTGGTATTAAAAAAAGCCTTAAATTTCACTTGTTAATATCTGTAGAAACCCTGATAAACATCATGATTTTTTTGTAAAGCTGCTTTGAAACAATATAAATTTGACTTGGGGTTATTGTAGTAAACTAAAATTTTAATAAAATTCAAACATATAAAAACTTTTTATTTGAAATACGTGATACAAATAAATACAAAATCAATTAAATACAAATCAGCATGGTTCCTGACACAACACATACCCCTCCACATGTCATCTTTCGTCGTAACCTATGCTCACTCTCACCCTCCCGGCTATCTGCTATGGTTTCATCTTCGCTTCCTTCCCCTGAACTGTTAGAATCTTTTGATATTGATACTTTCTGCTCCACTCTTACATCTTTGTTTAGACACTGTCTGCCCCTTGTCTTCCAGGCCAGGCCGTACCACCCGTTCTGCCCCTTGGCTATCTGATATTCTCCACGAGCATTGTTCTAAGCTCAGGGCTGCAGAAAGGGTGTGGCGTAAATCCAAAAATCCTACTGACCTTAATGTGTATCAGTCACTCCTCTCTTCCTTTTCTGCTAATGTCTCCACTGCTAAAAGGACATACTACTGTAACAAAATTAACAATTCGTCTAACTCTCGCATGCTCTTTAAAACATTTTCCTCCCTCCTTTCTCCTCCTCCTCCCCCTCCTTCATCAACTCTCACTTTGCCACGTTTTTCTTTAATAAAATTAAAAACCTCAGTGCACAATTTTCCACACCACAAACTGTCAAGCACATCTTACCAGCAAACATACACTCGTTTTCATCCTTCTCTCCACTCTCTGAGGCAGAAGTCTTTAAACTCATCCTTTCCAATCATCCTACTACTTGTCCGCTTGATCCTATTCCATCTCATCTCCTTCAAGCCATTTCTCATGCAGTTGTACCTGCACTCACTCACATCATTAACATATCCCTTCACACTGGTGTTTAGACCGGCTCGTATAACCCCACTACTTAAGAAACCCACTCTTAACCCATATCTTTTAGAGTCAACCTTGCCAAGACAGAACTGCTTGTGGTTCCATCAAACCCATTGTTTCATCACAATTTCACCCTCCAGCTAGGCACATCAACCATAACTCCTTCAAAAACAACATTATGATTGATGATCGACTGAATTTCTCAGACCACATTGCTAAAACTGCCCGGTCCTGCAGATTTGCTTTATTCAACATACAGAAGATCAGGCCTTTTCTTTTGAAACATGCTTCACAACTCCTTGTTCAAGCTCTTGTTCTGTCCAGGCTGGACTATTGCAATGCTCTCTTGGCAGGTCTTCCAGCCAGTTCTATCAAACCTTTACAATTAATCCAGAACACAGCAACAAGATTAATTTTTAATGAGCCGAATATAATACACATCATACCTCTGTTTATCAGTTTGCACTGGCTACCAGTAGCTGCTCGCATAAAATTCAAGGCATTAATATTTGCCTACAAAACCACCACTGGCTCTGCACCCCTTTACCTAAATTCATTACTTAAGCTTCTAGAGGCATATAAGTCTGGTGTTCTGCAAGTGAACGTCGCTTTATTGTTCATCCCAAAGAAGCACAAAATCACTTTCACTGACTCTTTCATTAACTGTTCCCTCCTGGTGGAATGACCTGCTCAACTCAATGCGAGCAGCTGAGTGCTTACACATCTTCAAGAATCGGCTAAAAACACATCTCTTCCATTTTTGTTTGACCCTCTAACTCTAGCACTCTCTATTCTAATTCTATTCTTTAAAAAAAAAACACTTGTCCCTTTTAGACTTGCACTCTATTCATTTGCTTCGTTTTCTTAAAAAAACAAAACTAACACTTGCTTTCTAATCTTTTTGTATTCTATCTGTTTTCTTTTCATTTATTATACAATTAACGCAAGCAAAAAAGACCTCTTAACACTAGCTTGCTCTATTTTTTTTCTATTCTATCTGTTTTCTTTTTTTTTTATTATATTATTTAAAAAAACACTTGCTACGTGTACTGCGTTAAGCTAACTGAGACTTGTTATAGCACTTGCATATCGTTCATCACAGATGAATTCACTGATTCATTTAAAGGGGATTGCTCAAAAGATCTGATTAACCTAAATTAATTTTCTTGCTAAGTTTAAAGATGAAGTCTAATGAACCAAGTAAAGCGTTTGTAGGTTGATTTCTCTGAAAAGTGTGACTCTGTGCAGCTCTTAAAACATTATATGTTTTGTTGATATCTGTTTGTTTGAGCGTTACAACCTACCATCCGGCCCTAGACTTCATGCTAATAGAGAATGGGAGCAAATATTGAAGCTGAATCTCATTACTGTACAGTTATCAGATATATTCACACTCGGGCTGCTCAGGGTAATAAGAGACTGTAACCATAGAAACCAGGCCGCCATGCAAAATTAGTCTGTTTTTAGAAATGCAGCTGCGTTTGTTCCTCACCTTACCTGAAGGAGACCAGCTAATCATAGACCTCAAAAACTGCTCGAAATCTGCTCTGTTGGACTAAATGAGATGATTTACTAATATCAACTGTGTTGTTTAAACTTGTTAAAACACAATTAGAGCTGGTATATTTGATTCATTTCCGTGAATCAGTTCAAAATGTCCATTTCAGTGAATTGATTCAAATGACCCTGATTTAACGATTCGTTTGCATCGTCACTCAGAAATGTCCCCCAAAGGGATTTTTTATATATTAAAATGTTTTAGTATATCTGTAAGTAAATTTAGCTGTTTATGACTATGTACTGTTATATTAGTACATATTTAAAAAAATGAAAAAATATGACTCTTCCTTGTTTATTGCGTGAGAAAACTGTGAAAACATGCCTTATTAATGTCTATTTTTATTTAATCTTTTAACTAGATTTTTACTGTATTTCTTACACTAAACATTTTGAATCTACTTGACTACAATGACTGATTGATTCAATTGATGCTTCCTTTAAATGAGAACAAAAGTGTTTTTTGTTTTTTTTGCATCAATATAACAATACATTGCAACAAACATATTTACCTACAAATATTGTTTTTGCAAAGCATTTTGAAGAGTGTAAAATGCCATGCAGGGACATTTTTGAGTTGGTTACCCAAATGAATTTAAAAGTGAAGTTTGCATATATTTTTTTAAATGTTTGTATGCTTCCTTTGTTTCCTTTTTCATATCGGTGTTATTTTAGTATCATTAATATTCTATTATAGTTTTGTTAATATTTTGAATTCAATTTAATTTTTATATTTTCTGTTCTTTTATTTTAATTTTAATTTAAAGTTTTAGTAATTTTGTGTTTTTGTCATTTTATTATGTCTAATTTCTTTTAGCTATTTTAGTGCTTAAATTTAAACATGAAAATGAGAAATGTTTTTTTTATCATAAGTTATGAATTCAAAGGAATTTAAGTTACATTCATTCCAATGGAATTAATACTGGTAATCCTCGGATTATTTTTCTTATAAATTTAATAAAATAATACATTTCTCATCAATAATGAAAAAAATATACTTTTTTTGTATCATAGTTTTTTTTGGTGTGGTTCATGTGTAATTTGAAATTTCATTAAAAAAAAAATCAGGAACGTTATCCAGTGTTCACAGTTGGTTAGTTAGCCATTAAAACACTAGCTTACACTAGGAGCTTATTTACTGTTAATTATATATGTATGTTTGAATAAATCATGAAGACAAGTTTTTATGAAAAATGTGCAATTGAGTTGTATGCAAACATTTCCGTTTTTATCTGAGTGTGATTATTATATTTAAAAATAAATAGCGGTTGAATATAATAGTTTGGGCTCTGTTAATTGTGACCTCTAATATTATAGTAATGTACCAAATGAGTGTTCCTGTACAGTTTACAGCATTACTTGGGAGATATTTTTTTTCCTTGTGATTCTGAAAACCAAACTATCGGTTTCAGTATCGGTATTGTTATCGGTATCGGCATCTGCAGTTTCTATTCACAGAGTTGTTCTCTGATGGTTTGTGTGTTCAGACGAGGCCAGAGACGATCTCCTCAGCCTGCTGGCGCTGCTGGACGTGTGGTTTTTCCGGCTGGAGTGTCCGTGTCACACGCTGGCGGATGTGCAGGGCTGGTTGCAGGAGTCGCTGCGGTTCGAGAGGCTGGAGATCGACCCACGCTTCACTGCAGACCCATCGAGCGTCAGGCTCTTTCGCTGGGAGCAGAACTCACCGTTTCAGGGCATCTTGAGCGTCTACTGCAGGTGAAAACATGGACGATCAGTTTGTTTCAGTCATGTGACTTTCTGCTCATCTGCTCACCATATGGACAAAAGTATTAGGACACATCCTTATAATGAACAGGTTTGACCACTTAAGTGTCAGTAATATAAATAAATGTGTCTGTGTGTGTGTGTGTATAATATAATGTATGATATACTGTATGTTGTTTAAATATAATAATATAATATAATGTATGAGATATATATATATATATATATATATATATGGCCCTATGATGGACAGAATCGCAGAATCCAGTCATGAAAATAATATTTAGATACACTCATACACAAAAAAACTCTCAAAGATCTTCACTACAACCTGTCAAAATAAATTATTGGTTTAACTTGAAGAAATTATGACAGAAATATATTACTATTGTACAGCAGACAATACTTCTTAAAGTAGTAATAATAATAATGCAAAATTATTAAACTATTTAAATGAATTTCATAGGCCTTATTGTTTTATAAAGTTTAATAAATCATTAAAATTCTAGAGTTTTTATTAGATTTTTTATTTTTGTTAAAAATGTATTTAAACAATTAAAAACAATCCAGAAATAATAAAATGAAAGAAATTTAGAAATGTAATTTTTGTTAAACTTTTAGTAAATGTAAAAATTTTCATGATTTTAACATAACTATTAAAATGCAATCTAGAAAAAAAAATGCAATTTGGGAAAAAATAAAATTGAATTTGCGATAAAATAAAATGGATTTCATATATGAAAAAAGGCACTTCAATAAATGTACAAAAGGAAATATTCGTTAAAAATTAGGAATACAGAAGTAATTTTAATTGAGATGTAAAAATAGAATAAAAATAAATTAAAAAGCTACTTTTAAGATGTGCCTTTTTTCATGTGGTCACTGAAAAAAATAACAGCATATTTCTTTAAAATGACTTGAGATGAATAAATGATAACAAAATGGACTTCATTTCATTCATTTTAACTAAAAGTTTGATTCATTGGAAGATTTTTGCTTGAACGACATGAACTTGAGAACCCATAAATCTCTTTGAAACTGTGTTGCTGTTGGGTGAACGTGATTCGTTGTGTTCTGCCGCAGGGATGAGCTGAGTTTGCTGCACTTCCTGCACTCGCTGTGTGACTTCCTGCCCGTGTCACATGACGTGCAGCCGCTGGAGAGGCCGAGCGTCTGCGCTGGATCTCTGGCTCAGACTCTGCAGACGGAGATCCACACCGTGACGCAGGAGGCGTCTTCAGTGCTGCGCACTGATGAGGGAGCGAGGAGAGGAGAAGCGGAGTCACAGACGCTCCACAACCTCAGGGAGGAGTGGCTTAAAGAACGGGGGCGGTGCAACGAGAGGCTCCGCCCCCTGCTGGACGAGACGCGCTACAGCAGACTGATAGAGCGCATGATTCACGCGCAGCTGGATGCAGATGAAGCCGCTCTGATGGAAGCTCCTCGTCTGTAGGTAAAGCCACATCAAACTCACCGTCCCGGCGGTCCAAACCTGTGTGCTGTTCTGGCAAACTCATAAAAATACCGGCTAGAATACACCAAAAAAATGATCATTAGTTCATGTGCCTCTCCCCTGCAGTTCTAAAATTGTATTTTAAACATGTTATGGTCAGTCATGTGATAACCAATGGTGTTTGTCTCCAGTAACATCAGAACTTTTGTAATTTTATTTATTTAATCTTTTCTCAATTTAGATTTCAGAGCTGTGGTCCACTTTCATTTTCAGTTTTAGAAAAAAAAAAATTTTTAGGTTTTATTACTACTTGTTATTTTTAAATGTATATTTATTTTTATTTCAGTTTGTATTTAGTTATTTTTTAGATTTAGTTTATTTTATTTTTGTAATTTTATTCTGCATTTGTATCGGTTTTATTAGTTTTTTGTTTTAAATGTCTAAGTTTTTATTATTCATATAATTTTGTTCATTATTTTCAAAATCACTTCAAATTTGCTACTTCGAATTAAACTAAATGAAAACTAGAAAAGTGAGTAATATTTGATAAAAGCATAACTGACAGGTTTTCATATTGTATCATAGTTAACATCTATTTTAATAGTTTAATATAAATGTTTTTCATATCGAATACTAAATATATACAGAAAAATAGTTTTATGTAAACCTTTGAAGAATTATTTTATTTCTATCTTTATATGTATCTGTAGATATTGTAAAAAAAATATATTGATGTACATCAAACAAAAAATATTGCAGTATGTGTTTTACAAGAACATTATATATATATATATATTTAAAATAAAATATTTTACTATTTGTATGATATTTTCAAGATTTTTTTAAACCAACTGATAATTTTTATATATTTTTTTCTGTTCAAAATCTTTACTGTTTGTATGACATTTCGTTTTAATCAATTAATTTATATGTTATTTTTTCCCGTGTTCTATCACTTTGCATCCAAATTCTAAATAAAAGCCAGTTGGTTAAAGCCTCATCTCCAGGAAGTGACATCGTTTTGGAGGGAAATCGGCAGCATGTCTGAGTATTACGATGTCAGTGTCTGATGCTCTTGTGTTTCAGTCTGCAGATCAATCAACGTTTGACATGAAGATCAGCGTCCTGAGGAACGACAGCAGCTTCTCACTGACAGATCAGATGCATTTGCTGAGGCGTCTTAGGAGAAGGAAGCCTTTGATTGAAATACAGCTGCTTCAGACACACTGAGGATTTCCACAAAAATACTCTGATTTTCTCTTGGAGAGGCAGAAACTGGCAGTGAATTATACACATATTGAAATGTATTTGGTTTTCTAGTTTTGCACATATATGAATAAACGATGAACAAAAGAAAAATGCACATTACTTTTGACTAAAATAAATGATTTCAGTTTGTTCAGCGTTGATTGCATCATTTTCTGTATTTAATGTTGGTGTTTCTGTCAAATAATCAGCACGATTCATAACAGTCCTCGTGTTTCAGATGAAACGGAGCAAACACAAGCGCCGCTGACAATCATCCAGCTCAAGTGTCCTCGCCGCTGCCACTGTTACCATGGAAACCAGCATCAGCATCAGCACCATCCGTCTGGAGCTTCATCACTGTGTATGAGATCAGCTGTAACGGTGATGTTGATTGCATCATTTTCTGTATTTAATGTTGGTGTTTCTGTCAAATAATCAGCACGATTCATAACAGTCCTCATGTGTTTCAGATGAAACGGAGCAAACACAAGCGCCGCTGACAATCATCCAGCTCAAGTGTCCTCGCCGCTGCCACTGTTACCATGGAAACCAGCATCAGCATCAGCACCATCCGTCTGGAGCTTCATCACTGTGTATGAGATCAGCTGTAACGGTGAGTTGTTGTTATTACTGTTTTCTTGAAATATATCATTCCATCAGTGTCTCAGCAACGGATGCTCTGCAGTGAATGGGTGCCGTCAGAATGAGAGTCCAAACAGCTGATAAAAACATCACAATAATCCACAGCACTCCAGTCCATCAGTTAACATCTGGAGAAGACAAAAGCTGAAACAAACCCAGCATTAAGACGTTTTAACTAAAATGCATTGAGTCCATAATCCACAATAACGCTTCCTCCAGTGAGTCAGTGTTCTGGTGTGAATCAGGAGAGAAATCTGCACAGATCAAGCACCGTTTACACAGCTCTAAACACATATGTGACTAGATTTTGATGCGAGAGACAACAGCAGATGGACTTATTATGGATTATGGACTCATATTTTAGTTAAAAGCATCTTAATGCTGGATGTGTTTCAGCTTTTGTCTTCTCCAGATGTTAACTGATGGACTGGAGTGCTGTGGATTATTGTGATGTTTTTATCAGCTGTTTGGACTCTCATTCTGACGGCACCCATTCACTACAGTGGAATTGATGTCCGCAAGACATCACAGTTTAGGACAGACATCTTGCCGATCTTCATTATCTAATCACGATCGTTTGATCCCCAATTATTGGCTCAGTGGACCTGAAATATGAAAATGTTCAGCATATGCAGCGTTTAATAGTTTGATACTCAACACATCTCCAAACAACTGATAATGCGTCACAGTCGTGAGAAACAGACAAATCTACATCATACCCTACTGGAATGAGACAAAACCAAAGACACTTTCCATCTGTGATCTTCAGTATTATGTGTTATTAATCATCCAAACCAACTGAGACGACAGCTGAGGAAAAATGTTTTCCTATAAATTATGGGTAGAGCTGAAAAGCTCCATATCGGTAAATATTATATAATACAATGTTTATATATATATATATATATATATAGTATTATGTTTCACCTTTTAGTTTTTTACTTTAAATTCTCTAGTTTTAACATATTACTATATGATGCTTTTAAACTGATTCATATTTTATTTCTAATATATACGTTTAAATATATGCATTTAGCAGCTGCTTTTATCCAAAGCAACTCAGAAAAGTAGAAGAAAGCAATCAATTCATAATAAAAGTACTTTTTAATTTACTTCAATATACAATGTTTTAAAATGTAGTGTTACACTTAATGTAATGTTTTTATATTCTATATAATGAAATAGAATATTATATTTATATATTAAATTTGAAATATATATATATATACACACACACACACACACAATTTTAAAATATTATATAAACATATGTATAAATATTAAAAAATATATATTTTAGATGTGTGTGTGTATATATATATAATTGTGTGGTGTGGATATGTAAATTAAAAATAAAAATATTTTAAATATATTATAAATATATGGTATTTTGAAAGTATTGTTAAAATGTAATTTTAATTATTCAAATATAATTTTGAATTTAATTATATAACATTTTATTACATTATATTTACCGACTTTTAATATAGCATTTTAATATGTAATATTTCCATTGATATAACCTGGGTTCAGTGAGACTCATCCTCATAAATCCACAATATTGTGTTTGTGCAGTAAAACACGTGCTGCTGTGATTAGAAAGAGGAGAAGAGTGACGACTCCAAAAGACAATCGTATAAAACAGCGTCTTTTGTACGAAACCGTCCGTCAAAAGCTGATCAGATGTCCAAATACTGTCGATGCGGTTGATTATCCCCAGTGTTTGTGTCTGCATCAGGTTTTGCCGGCGCTGTCGTGTCGGATGATCTTGTAGGTGATCCAGTAGAAGACGTTGAAGATGAGGAAGGCCAGAGGGAAGGCGGCGCGTGATACGGTGTCGATCCTCTTCGCTCGGTCCACAAACTTCTTGCGGTTCACGTCGGTGTCCTTCGGGACGGCCGGCGGCGGATTGGCGTTCGTCTGCGTGTTTTTGACCATCGTCCCGTCCGTCACGTTCCCGCAGGACGCGGTGTTATATCCGGAGAAATGCAGACGGCCGTCCTGTAATTCCTCCTCCTGTGCGTTCAGAAACACAGAGAAACAGGTTCCTATGCGGTTTGGAAAAGTATGGAAAAATATTTGCATTTCCAGACCTTTGCCCCTATTTAGTCTTTATATTAGAGCCCGACCGATATGGGTTTTGGGAGCCGATACCGATATTAGGCGATACCGATATATCGGCCGATATTCTTTGTGTATATTATAGTACAGTAAGAGTACAGTATAGTACAAGCGTGTGTTTTATAGACATAATTATATCTGGTGATCTAAAATGTGTTTATTTCCTGTAGGTCAGATTTTTGAATATCTGTGCGATTTTGTTTTATGTAATATTATTAAAATCTGCCTGAACACATTGTTATATTAGTAGCTGGCAGGTTTGATAAAGACGTGAATGGGACACATTTTTAGTTGCGATACTTTGTGTGTGTGATACTTCTTTCGCAGCAGGGCGGATGATCCTCTCTCGATTAGCGCTGCGTTTCTTCAGCCTGCAGCGCGTCTTCATCTTTGTCTCAGGTGTCGAGGCTTTTGAAGCTTCAGGTGCAAATGTGTTTGTCTAAAATTAATGGAGCGATAATCCTGCAAGAGCTTTCGGTGTTTTGTAGCTTGTTAAAGGATTGTTATTGTCTTTCTTTAGTGGCTTATTTAAAAGGATTCATGTTTAAGTTGATTTGATGCTAACGCTTTACAATACGGTTGCATTTAATAGCATTATTGCATGTGCAAACGTACTAACTACACTGTAAAACTGATTTTGATCAAATGATCACATTCACTCATTTTATTGTTTTTAATTGTAATTTTATGGTGTTTTTTGTTGTAATTTTAGAGGTTGATTTTAAAAATCACCATCCACTTTCATTGTCAGTTATATGTATTTATTTGAAAATATATTTATATATTTTTATTTCTACATGTAATATGTTTATTAAATGAAAAAATATCCGCTTTCATTGGGAATTTGTTTTAAAATATATTTATGTGTTTTAATTTTATTTCTAAATAAATACATTTAAATAACAATGAAAGTGGATGGTGATTTTTATACTAGATTGATAAAATCAAAAATTAAACATAATTATTTGGGGAAAAATAATAAAAAATCTGTCATGATTTACTCAACCACATGTTGAACCGAACTTTATTTCTTCTCTGGAACACAAATAAAGATGTTAATCAAAATGTCACAATTAAAAATTAAATGATCATTAACTTTTTATTGTATAAATGTGTTTGTATATGTATATATAAATATATTTTAAAATAAACAAATTTAAATAACACTGAAAACATTTATTAAATTAAAAAATCCACTTTTTATTTTATTTATTTTAAAATATATGAATTTTTAAATTTTATTTCTAAACATATTTCTAAAATGTAAAAATATATATATATTTTTTCCCATTTTGATTAATATCTCCGTTTTTGTGACCCTGCAGCACAAAAGCAGTGTTAAGTCGCTGGGGGATATTTGTAGCAATAGCCAACAATACATTGTATGGGTCACAATTATACATTTCTCTTTTATGCCAAAAATCATTAGGATATTAAGTAAAGATCATGTTCCATGAAGATATTTAGCAAATGTCCTACCGTAAATATATCAAAACTTAATGTTTGATTAGTAATATGCATTGCTAAGAACTTCATTTGAACAACTTTAAAGATGATTATTTTTTTGCACCCTCAGATTCCAGATTAAATATATATATTTTTTTTCCCATTTTGATTAATATCTCCGTTTTCATGACCCTGCAGCACAAAAGCAGTGTTGAGTCGCTGGGGGATATTTGTAGCAATAGCCAACAATACATTGTATGGGTCACAATTATACATTTCTCTTTTATTCCAAAAATCATTAGGATATTAAGTAAAGATCATGTTCCATGAAGATATTTAGCAAATGTCCTACCGTAAATATATCAAAACTTAATGTTTGATTAGTAATATGCATTGCTAAGAACTTCATTTGAACAACTTTAAAGATGATTATTTTTTTGCACCCTCAGATTCCAGATTTTCAAACGACCAAATATTGTCCGATCCTAACAAACCATACATCAATGGAAAGCTTATTTATCTCAATTTCAATAATACTTTATGACTGGTTTTGTGCTCCAGGGTCACAAATAAAGTTTGGATCAACATGTGGCTGTGTAAATGATGACAGATTTTGAATTATTGGATGATTTATTCCTTTAATGTTATTTTTGTCCCATTGGAGATTAATTTCAGCCTACAATATGAGCAGTTCCTTCACATATCTGTGAATAATTACGGCGTAAACAGACGAGCGTTTGCGATGCTGAAGTAAACCGTGTGTTATTAAGCTGCTGATTGAGTGATCTGTAATATCTGTGGGGATGATAGAGCTGATGGGTTTAGCTGGCGAGGCTGAGGCTGTTTTTGTGGGATGGGATTCGTTCTCCGGCCTTCAAACTAAAGATGCTTGAACCCTGTGAAGCCCCAATCATAAATGCGTCTGTCAGTGTTTCGGCACCTTCTGATGTCGTCTCTGTCTTCGTTTCAGCCGCAGAAACTCCTTCTGCTGTCTGGAGACGAAGTTAACGCCGGCGTATTCCAGCAGAGCGGCGAAGACGAACAGCAAACACACCGCCATCCAGACGTCTATGGCCTTCACATAGGACACCTGCACAGGAGCAGAGGAGGAAGCCAGTATAGACTTATTTACTTTCTATAATATATAAATGCATGTATACTTTAAAAATAAAATATAAGATTTTCAGCTCTGTATATGTTGTTTACTTTATAAGGTACTAAAAAGTATAAACAATTTTAAATTAAGTATTTATTTAGAATATTTAAATTAAATAAAAGTTGTATATAATACTTTATATAAAAATACATTTTGAACTTAATCAAAATACACTTATTATTATTTAATATATTACATATAAAGGAAATACATATTATTTTTTATTTATATGTAAAATATATATTTTTAAACTTTATATATTTTTAGTAAAAATCATATTAAATACTATTTATAAAGGAAAGATTATACGTATAAATAATTGTAATACATTTATTTAATAAATAGAACATTTAATGTATTACAGTAACAAGCTTTTAGTTTATTTTAATTAATTTTTTATTTATATATTTTTAACTTCAACAGTTTGAAATATTAAAATAGTACAATTGCCTATATAACAATTTAAAATTATTTCTTTATATCTATCTATCTATCTAGCTATCCAACTATCATCTCTCTATCTATCCATCTATCTTCTCTCTAGCTATCCAACTATCTATCTATCTATCTATCTATCCATCTATCATCTACCTATCCATCTATCATCTCTCTATCCATCTATTATCTACCTATCCATCTATCATATATCTGTCATCTCTCTAGCTATCCATCTATCATCTCTCTATCTATCCATCTATCATCTCTCTAGCTATCCATCTATTATCTACCTATCCATCTATCATATATCTGTCATCTCTCTAGCTATCCATCTATCATCTCTCTATCTATCCATCTATCATCTCTCTAGCTATCCATCTATTATCTACCTATCCATCTATCATATATCTGTCATCTCTCTAGCTATCCATCTATCATCTCTCTATCTATCCATCTATCATCTCTCTAGCTATCCATCTATTATCTACCTATCCATCTATCATATATCTGTCATCTCTCTAGCTATCCATCTATCATCTCTCTATCTATCCATCTATCATCTCTCTATCCATCTCTCATCAATTCAATTCAATTCAATTCAATTCAAAATTGCTTTATTGGAATGACTGTAAATTATACAATATTATAAGCTTAGTACACATGTACAAAAAAGATAAAAACAAATAATAATAATATAATAACAATAATAATAAGTAAATGAACATCATATTAATATAATGGATAACATCAACATCTTAGAAGTCTTAAACTAACAAATTATAAGAAGCTCTGGTGAACTCCATGCCCAAGAGGGTTAAGGCAGTGCTGGAAAATAATGGTGGCCACACAAAATATTGACAACTTTGGGCCCAATTTGGACATTTTCACTTAGGGGTGTACTCACTTTTGTGGAAAGCGGTTTAGACATTAATGGCTGTGTCTTGAGTTATTTTGAGGGGACAGCACATTTACACTGTTATACAAGCTGTACACTCACTAATTTACATTGTAGAAAAGTGTCATTTCTTCAATGTTGTCACATGAACAGATATAATAAAATATTTACAAAAATGTGAGGGGTGTACTCACTTCTGTGAGGTACTGTATATATCTATCTATATCTATCATCTATATATGTCTTATCATCTATCTATCATCATCTATCTGTCTATCTATCTATCATTTATCTATGTCTATCTATCTATCATCATCTATCTGTCTATCTATCATTTATCTATGTCTATCTATCTATCTATCATCTATCGATCTATCATCAATCTAGCTACTGTATATACATGTGTGTGTGTATATATATATATATTATTTATCTTTATTTAACTAGAACATTTCATATATTAAAGCAACATATTTATTTAGTTAGTTACCACAATATATTAAAAGTAACTAACTAAGGTTGTTCAGAGAACATTTTAAACAAATAAATCATTGAATCAGTTTCGGTTCACTAAAATGGACAGATTGCACTGATTCAACTTTATTTTCTAATCAGTATATCAAACAAAACAGCCTAAAAGCATGAATTATGAGTTGTTTTCATTCACACATTAGCCTGTGTGTTAACTGTTGATAATCGTTATGTTTCTGATTATAATATCTGCTGTGAGTTTAGCAGACAGACAGACTGAATGAGTCAGATCATGCAGAGAGAAAAGCCTTCATTAGAAGCTCCTGCAGGATTATGGGATTATTCTCCGTCTAGTAATGAGCGCTTTGATTTCCAAATAATACTGATTATTAGATTAACATAATGTCACATGCGTCGTATGAGGGTGAATCCAGTGAAAGCTATATAACATCCAGTCATATTTCTGTGACGGTTATAAGGCACTGAAACCCTCTTCAGTCAGAAAAGCAGCGATTAGAGCCGAAGGTAATTTGCATTATGGGTTATGAAACAAAAAACCCTGATAATTGTGTTCTCAGCTTTTGTTGTTTCAGTCGGGACTCTTTCCATTTCATATTCATGTTCCCTTTCATGCATAACGCTTCATCTGCGTCTCTCATTTACAACAATGAACTAATTATTAGTCTGAAACTCATTAAAAAAATATAAATCTCTAAAAATAAACAGAGTTATGCTTTAGTAACTTCTTGATACTGTGGTCCTATTATGAGGAAACAGGTTACAGAATCAAGAAATTACTGAAGCATGAGTTTTTTATCATTTACAGTTTATTTTTATCAAGTTAATTCTTTTAGCAAATATGTAAAATAAATCAATTTCATTGCAGTGTTTACTTCCTTTTTATTAATGTTAATTGTTTTTTATTTGTGAAAAAATAAACTAAAATAATTAGAAATATATAATTGTAAAATGAATAAATATTTGTAAAAAAATAAACAGATTTATGCTTTAATAACGTATTGATTCTCTAATCACTATTTTTCACAAATAAAAAAAATAAAGCATGAATACAAACGACAAACTGCAATGAAATTTATATTTTATTTACATATTTACTAAATTAGAAATGATAAAAAATGCAATAATTAAAAAATGCAATCTGCAAAATAAAACGATTTATGCTTCACTAACTTATTGATTCTGTTATAATATAATAGTTTTCACAATTAAATACTTAAAACATGAATTAGCATGATAAGTTATCAGAGAAAAACATCTCATATCACCTGCTGAAATGTTCCTATTAATACATTTCCAAATGTGCATTCTGAATAATAAATACGCTTATTTCCCAACTAACCTGCTGCAGTCAAGGTCGTCGTCTCTTTAACAATGTTTTTCTCTTACTGATCATATTTCATACCTGTTTACATTTTTTAAATGAATTTGACTGATAAACACCCTTACAAAAATCTGCCATGGTTTTACTACAGTAAAATGGTTAAAAAGCGCTATATAAATAAAGGTGACTTGACTTGTAAATATGTAGTAACCATGTTTTACTATACGTTTTCCGCGTACTGATTTCCATTTGTATTGCCACAGTTTTACTACACATACCATGGTTACTTTTCGTAAGAGCAGTGTTAAAATAGATGAATGAATGCGCGGGCCTTGCCTTAAAGAAATTGAACAATGTTGAACATTTTGGCTAATTAATCTTAAACAGTGTAACGTGCCGACAGTGTGACTTTGAATATTAATTAAGAATTTTGGCATAAATATGTGTTACATACAGAATGAAAAAAGACAGAATAATGACAAAAATTTAATACAAATGAATAAATATGTTCATTCTGATCTTATATTCATCAGGTCTCACACACAATGCAGCATCGCAAAATATATTTGACCTCTGACCTTGGGCAGCGAGGCTCGTGAGCCGGAGCTCTGTGTGGTCATGGTGAGGACGGTGGTGATGCCGAGCGCGACCCGCGCCGGAGCCGCATCCATGTGGATCCAGAAGGAGACCCAGGAGAGGATGACGATGAGGAGGCTGGGGATGTACATCTGGATCAGGTAATATCCCATCTGCCGCTCCAGCAGGAACTTCACCTCGATGCACGTGAACTTCCCTGAACACACACACACACACAGAGACACAGACAGACAGACAGACAGACAGACAGACAGACACACACACACACACACACACACACACACACACACACAGTCACAGCTTCACAAAGACCTCTCTAGAGGGATAGTTCAGTGTTAATTTAATCATCCTCAGGCCATGCAAGATGTGAGTTTGTTCTTTTCATCTTGTTTGCCATCCGAGATTGGAAAAAGATGTTGAGTAAGAAGATTTTTTTGAGAAGATTTAACTTACTGTGTAATGTATGTGTAAAAAAAAAAAATATATATATATATATATATAAATTGTTACTTGAAATGAAATAAATGTTAACTGACATAAAAAACGTATTTTAGTTCAGCTAGTTTTTAAGGCAAAATTTCTCATTTTCATTTAGTTTACCTTCATGTAATAAAAAACTGAAACTAAAATAAAAATTAAAAGTTAGTAAAATAATATAGACATTTTAAAAACAACAAAACTAATAAAAATGAGAAAAAAAATCACACAACAAAAATACTAAAACTTTAAAATTAACAAGGCAATATAAAAATACAATCAAATTCAAAACATTAACAAAATCTATAATAGTATCTCAATGAAACTAAAATAACTGTTTTAAATTGAAATACTAAAATAACTTTAAAAACAATGAAAACTATACATTGTAAAAAGATGTAAATAAAAGAATCAATACAACTAATTTAAAAAGATGATTTAAATCCATTTTAGAAGTAAAATTTCATGTTTAATTAAATTGTGAAATTTACTAGCAGTGAAAATGGAAAGAATCAGGCTCATGTTTGCATTTTATTCTGTCTCTGACCATAACTCTGAACTTGATGTCAGGATTAGTCATAAAATAATTGATCAAATTGTTATTAATGCAGCTCAGATTCAGACAGGATTCATGTGTTTGTGTGTTTTTCTGCTGATTAAGGGAAAATACGAAACGACTTCACCATACGAAACGATTATTAAAAGCAAAAATGCCACAAAATGCAGACATTTAGTGAGAAAGTGTGATGTGAAAGAGCAAACCAGACAGTGTTTTTGGAATCAGCAGCACTAAATGAATAAGAAACGAGTGCTGGTTGAATGATGGGGTTGTTATGATGATTGTTAAAGGGGTTATGAGTGACCTGTGTTGTAGTGTTTGGTGCAGTAGCCCAGCTCCTTCTCGTCTCTGATGATGAACTGCGGTAACGTCAGACCCTCGGCGACCTGAACCGGACCTTTATCAAGCCACTCGAAGATCAGGTCGTTCATCGTGTAGCCGACTGGAGAAAACATGAGCGGAAACACTGCGTTACTGCTGTTAGCCTTCATTAGCATAATAATAAAGAACACTTTCAGTTATACCTTCATTCAAGGTCAAGTATGAAGATTACTCAAATTGAAAATAACAACAACAACAAAAAACTGAAAAAACAATAAAACTAAATAAGCATATTAAAAAACAAACTGACAAAAATGCACAGCAAAATTACTAAAACTTTAACTAAAACTAAAATTAAAACAACAAAAATAAAAATAAAAAACTATTTAAAATATCAATACATTTTATAAAACTAAAAATAACTAAAGAACTGAAAATAGCTAAACTAAATCTAAAATTAAAAAATAAAACTATTCAGACGTAAATAAATAAATAAAACCGATAAAAAGTACAACAAAGTGACTAAAACGTTAAAATTAAAATGTATATATAATATATAAATATAATAAAACTAAAAATAACAAAACAACTTGAAAACTTCAACTAGAATAAAAAGAAAATCTAGATATTACCAAATATCATAAAACTATAAAATACTAATTCAAAACATTAATAAATATCATAAAATTAAAAATAACTAAAAAACTGAAATATAAAAAAAATAATAAAAATTATGTAGACTTGATAAAAAACCTGACAAAAATACACAATAAAATGACTACAATTTTAACTAATTAAAATATAAATGGCAAAGATAAGAAACTAATTCAAAATATTAATAAAACAAAAAATAACTAAACAAAAACTGAAATAAAAAATAATAAACTATACAGATATATAGATATATGTTTAAATTATAATGAAAAGACAAAAAATAAAAGTAAAACTGATCAAAAATATCAACAGATATCATAAAAATAAAAATAAAAAAAGTAAACATTATAAAAACAATATAGGCACTAATAAATCAACAAAAACCGTTATCTAAAATTAAAGTTTAAACAGAAAATATAAAATAAAAATATTAACAAATATGGTAAAGCTAAAAATAATGAAACAAGAATTGAAATGAGAAGTAATATAAACAATATAGACATTAATAAAATGTCTGAAACATTAAAGCATGAAGTACGCACAGCTCTCCAGCTGCATGGTGCAGGTCTGGACGTCCATCGGGAAGTTCTTCAGATCCATCGGACAGGACAATATTAACGTCAGCCTACAGACAACGTGACCGACACACTGCGTTATATAATATCATTATAATATCAGACCTGATTCATGTGACTGCAGTGTTTAATGTTAGACGAGTTCATCTGAGAAACACCTGCAAGCTCAGTCCTCAGCCGATCTATGACTTGTGCATGAATTCAGAGCTGACGGCTTGTGATTTATAGAAACAGAGCATTTATGAAAAGTAGGACAGCGTCATATCAGCTCATTTTCAAAATAAAGATGTGGATTTACGATAAGAGATCTGTTCAGGGCTCGTGTTCGCTCGAGTCACTAGCGAATAGAAAAGCTTCGATTTATACATACGATTTTACTATTGTTTGAGCACTAGTAAAATATTTCTGTTTTGCATTCTGTTCTGACTCGATGCCATTTGAGAACTAGACCTGATGTTCTTCAGCATGACTTGAGATGCAACGAGCATCGCATCGCATCTTTAAGACTATAAACAGAGCACAATCTGAGAGACTTATGATTTATTTTGTGCTATAACTTTTCATAAACATTCTAAAACGTAAGTTAGATTATAAATGAAACGATGCCAATTTTTCAATGTGTCAGCGTTCTTTTTGTATTTATATACTATTATAATATTTATTAATATTTTGAATTGCCTTTTATTTTTTTTAGATGTTTGGTTTTATTAATTTGTGCGTTCTTATTCGTTTTTTCTTATATGCTTTCATTTGTTTTATTTGTAGTAATCTTATTACTTCAACTTTTATTTCAGTTTTCATTTGTTTTTGTTTTTCTTAGTTTTTCATCCAATATTTATATTTTATTTCAGCTTTCATTTCAACTTTACTTTCAGTAATTTCATGTGCTTTTGTCATTTTTATTCCTTGTTTTATGTTTCCATTTAGCTTTCATTTCTATAATTATTTTTAATATTAAGCTGTTTTAATCTCTTAATATTTCTATTTAGCTTTTATTTTAATTGCTTTTTGTGCTTTTGTCACTTTTATTAGTTTTTTTAAATATTTCCTTAATTTATTTTTATTTGAGTAATTTTAGTACTTCAACATAAAATGTTTTATGAAAAAACATATCCCATCAGTGCAGAAGAGTGAACAGCTTTATTATCAGATGAATTTGATGTCTTCTGCTCTTATTTGGTTTGTTTTAGTATTTTTAGTACTTCAACTTACACTTGTTATATTTCAGTCAGTTGCCAAGGCAACACTTCTATTTTTGCTTAAGTTGAAGTTGAAGTTTTCCATCTAATACTTATATTTTATTTCAGATATCATTTTAATTTGAGTCATTATTTGTGCTTTTGTGTCTCTTTTTTTTATCTATTAGCTTTCTTCAATTTTTATTTATTTTAGTTTTTGTCATTTTTGTTTTTCAATTTGAGCTCATGGCTAAATAAATAAAAAATAAATACATTTTAGTTTAGTCATTTTGTTATGTGCTTTTGTCATTTTTATTAGATTTTTAAAAAAAACTATTTAGCTTTCATCTTTTTTTTCAGTTTTAGTACTTTAACTTAAACGTCTTTTGTTTCAGTTAGTGGCTAAAGCAACATTTCTTATTTCGTTTAAGTTTTTCATCATTTATATTGTTTCAGCTTTCATTGTAATTTTGTGCTTTTATCATTTTTATTCATTTTTAAATATTTCTATTTAGCTTTAATTCATTTTTATTTTTTATTTTTATTTAAACTTTATTTCAGTTGCCAGGGCAACATTTTAAGTTTTTTAGGTTTAAGTTTTTTCATCTAATATATATTTATCATTTTGTTTTATTTCTTTCCTTTTAGTTTTAGTCATTTTGGTTTTAAACATTATTTAAATATTTTGTGCTGTTAATTAGTTTTTGTTCTTCTAAAATATTCATCCTGTTTGATCAAACGAAACTAATCAATTTAAATAAATTTTTTTTTTAAATATTAAAAATATGAAGATCTGCTCCAGATTTAACCCTGACATGCCTGAGATATGAAAGTCAGAGAAATAAACAATTTTTGAAAACTTTACACAAAATATAAAAGAAGTTTTAAAAAAGTTTGCATATGTGTTTTATATGTTGTACCATATTTGATCCATCAGGTTTTTATGGCTCATATAGTCTGATATAGTGAGAATATAAAGAAAAAACTTAAATAAAGAAACTAAATCTGCAGATGCTGATATGTATATGATGATATTCTGCTGCTTGTAATGTAAATCAGTGAGATGTTTCTAACAGTGCAGCAGATGCTGACATAAAATGATCTAAATATCGCTCTATATCTCCAGTAACATGTCTCAGTAAGATGAGGCTGAAATGCTCCAAACATATAATGCAGTGAATGAGAGCTAAAGAAATAAAGGCTCCTCAGAAGATGTGAGATGTTCTGGAGGCTTGTGAAGATCATTCCTCCGCTGAGGAACAGTGAAAGTAAAGCTTCTGGAAACAAACGCTCCTCAAAAGATCCTGAGGATCAGATTTGAGACTCTAAAACATGATTGATGGAGAATCAAGTAAAGCTGAGCTGCTTCAGTGCAGTAAGTGTTCATCTGGAGATATTACTGACGTTATTCTGACCTTTACTTGATCAAAATCAGTCAAGATCTGACACGAGAAGCTCCAGCTCAAGTTGAAGTTTTCTGAAGGTTCCAAAGCAAAATAACCAGCAAAATTGCATTGTTTTTTCCACTTCCTTCCTATGAATTACTATACTAATAATCACAACATAGCTAGAAAGAAGAAAGAATCAAACAGGCCGAGTGCATTACTTTGTTCATTTTACATCTAAATAAAAGCATTCAAGTAAGAAAAACTAATAATCAAATGTAAAAAATAATAGATTGATTATTAAAACTACAAAAGCAGTTCAATCAAGATCAGAATTTTCATTTTTGGGGTGAACTAACCCTTTCACTTCATCATAACATGTAAAGCAAAGCCATTCAGTGACTTTATAAGCATTTCTGTGTGCTTTTGTTCAAAGTTTAGCTTCCAATGCCAGGTTTTCATTAGACGAAGCTCTGTGAAAATGCTGTTGGACGAATATATTAGCCAGACGTTTTCTTCCATTCATTACAAGCAAATCATGGCATTACAAAAGCCTATAGAAATCAAGCGAATTAACTGCTGAAGTATAAAGATAAGTAGCATCATTTAGTGTGCGCATTTTCTTTCAAATGCATTAACAGCATTTTATTACAGTTAACAATGTATTATATATGCATATATGTAATATATAAAAATATTATAAATGTATTTTAAAATATTGATGCATATATATATATATACATTTATACAAATTATGAAAAAAATTAAAACACGTTTTTTAAAATATATTTTATACATCTGTCTATATATATATAGATCTAAATATATTCTATATATTGACACAAAAGTAAATACTCCAGATGCATTACATTATTTTAAGACATCGTTATTTTAAAAAGCAATGAAATATATCAAATCATAAATTAAATGTAGTGTTTTTTCACATCATTTTAATGTTGTTTTGTCCAAAACTCATCAAGCTTTAGTGGTATTTAGTATTCTCTGTAGAGTTCATTAGTGGCCTTGTATGACTGGCTGCTTAAAAATGATCATCAGAAACATGTAAACAAAATTAGCATTTGATCAAAGCAGCGTCTGGTGCTCGTGTTTAATATCCACTGGAGATGGGGTTCAGGAATATTCCTTGGGAAAGAAGCATGCGAGCTGGGAATTGTTTACGTCTGGAAATCTCCAAACGTGACTCTAATCGATCTGAATTCAGATCCAGAGCTTCGTTCTCCGTCGGAGTTATTAAGACTAAAGCGCTTTAATGCCAGTGTGTGTAGAGCAAGGAGCACTGAGGGAATGTTTCAGTACAGCGTCAGAGCGAAGTTCTCTATTGGATTTTATTCATGTGATTGATTGGAAAGTGCTGATTAGAGATGATTTGCAGCAGGAACGAATAGTAACTGGATAATAATTCCTTTTAGCAAAGTAAACGACGAACACTCACCATAGTGGTTTCTGTCACTGAGCCGAAGCTGTTGATGAATATATTACACGTGACGTTCACAGGAGGACCTGCAGACAACAAATAAGAACAACATGATGTTAAACGGCAAAGAATTCAGTAACGTTCACATGTTAAGCCACTGAGTTCACCATTCAGATCACATGCAGTAGCATTCAAAGATTTAGTCTCTTCTGCTCAGAAAGGCTGCATTTATTTGATTAAAAATATTGTAAAAAATCTGAAATATTATTAGAATTGAAACTAGCTGTTTTCTATGTGAATATGTGTTAGACTGTAATGTATTTCTGTGATGTGCAGCTGTATTTTCAGCATCATTACTCCAGTCTTCAGTGTCACATGATCTTCAGAAATCAGTATAATATGCTGATATATAAGAAACATTTCTGATTATCATCAGTGTTTAAAACAGTCGTGCTGCACAATATTTTTGTGGAAACTGATACTTTTTATTTTGTCAGGATTCACAGATGAACAGAAAGATCAAAAGAACAGCATTTATTTGAGATAGAAATGTCTTTACTGCAGAGTTATTTTAGTATTATTTATATACTACCATAGTTTTTAATAATATTTTGAATTACTTACTACCTATTTTTAATTTTTTTTTGGATTTATGCACTTTTGTCAATTCTTTTAATATATATATATATATATTTCAGTTTTAGATCTAGTTTTAATTTAAGTGCATTAATTTAATTTAGTTGCCTATAGGTAACATTTCTAATTTTCATATAGCTTTTCACTTAATATTTTATTTCTACATCTAAAATGTTTTAATAGTTTTTTTAAATTACTGTCACTTTTGATCAATTTAATGCATCCTTGCACAATCACGTAACTGAAATAATGTACATTAACAATATTTGATTATACATGTAACTGTAATATTAATGAATATGAATTAATGAATTTTCATTATATATTTAACTATTTTATTTCAGCTTTTACTAAATTTGCAAAAAATGAAGTTTTATTTTTAGTTAACAATAAAACCCCTGCTTTACTGTCACTTTTTTTCAACTGAAAGCATCCTCGTACAGTATTGTAACTCAAATACTGTATATTGATTGCCTTTTTATAGTTATAATCCTTGTCTACACGTCACAGTTTCTTCATTTCTGTTGTATCCCTCATTAGTAATTCACTTCTGCTAAATGAATCCGTGTCAATATTTTCACATGTATGCGTTTGCTCTGAAATGATTAACGTAGATCGAAAATATTCAATGCAAGAAGTAAAGCATTGTAATAGATTGTGACTATATATCGCTACAGCCTGGCTTCTTGAGCAGATTGTAGCCTGTCATGCATGTTAAAAATCATGAAAGGAGTTTATTAAGGTTCTCTAGGTGCAGCGTTCTAAAAATAATCCATTCGATGCGCCTCGGAGGGATTTTGAACCTCGTGAATGTTTTCTAACAAGATTGTGTTTTAATCACTCCTGGGCACAAACACACATCCACGCCAAACTGAGCTGAATCAAAGCTGGCGCTCGTCTGCTGGAGAGCCGAGGAGAAGCAGACAGACGCTGTGATAGCGTCCTTCAGATACCGCTCCCAAACAAATAAAGTAAGAGACTGTTAAATAACACAGCAGATGAACGCAGACGAATTACTCGATCCTTTGCTTTGACAGACACCATTCACTTCCAGAATACACTGAAGTACAACTACTTCCTCTTACAGAAACCTTCTCAGTATTGCATGAGCAGATGACTTTATTTGGAATATAGTGAGAAGTTGTACCAGTGTTATTTAGTATCAAGATACTGATTTATACAGTAACAATATATAACATACATGTTTCAACAAATGTGACCCTGGAGCACAAAACCAGTCATAAGGGTCAATTTTTCGAAATTGAGATGTATGTATCATCTGAAAGATGAATAAATAAGCTTTTCATTGATGTAAGGTTTGTTAGGATCGGACAATATTTGGCTGAGATACAACTATTTGAAAATCTGGAATCTGAGGGAGCAAAAAAATCTAAATATTGAGAAAATCATCTTTAAAGTTGTTCAAATGAAGTTCTTAGCAATGCATATTACTAATCAAACATTAAGTTTTGATATATTTACGGTAGGACATTTACAGAATATCTTCATGGAACATGATCTTTACTTAATATCCTAATGATTTTTGGCATAAAAGAGAAATGTATAATTTTGATCCATACAATGTATTGTTGGCTATTGCTACAAATATCCCCCAGCGACTTAACACTGCTTTTGTGCTGCAGGCTCACATATAATATAACTTTTAGTTTTTTACTTGCACTTCAAGTTAAACTAAATGAAATCAAAAATGTTGCCAGCTGAAACGAATTTATTTTATTTCAAGTGATGACATTTTATATTGTCAATTATGTGTCTCAGGCATATTTCACCTAAAAATCAACAAAGAAATAATGAATTATATTTTGCATAAAGAAAATTAAGCCTATATTAGGATTTTTTTCAGTTAATTTGAACAATTATCCCTATCCAACAATTACTCATACTAAATCCTTACTGCTGTAATTACAACAAAAACGAATAATTAACTATTTTGCATAAGGAAAATGAACCCTATAGCTATTTTTTGCATTTTAAAATTAATGTAATCAATTATGCACATTACATCCTAAATTCTTATTGCTGTAATTGAGAAAAAAACAAAAGAGAAGTAATAGAAAATTGTAGCATATATTAAGATTTGCATTGTGACATTAATCAATTATGCAGATTTCAATTAACAACATCATATTGCATTTATAGTACATTGCATTATAGTAATACAGTTAAAAACACTGTGTCTACTGATGAGGATAAGACAGTAAAATATCCTAAAAAGAAAAAAAATAATAATTAGTGGTGTTTTCGTGGCACAAAATATAAACAAATGACAAGAAACTACATTATTAGCGTGAACGCACAATAAACAATACTTCTAAAACCTTTATTAATCTTAGCTAACATTAGTTATTTCACCGTGAAACTATCATGAGCAATTGTATTTGACTATTTAAAAGATTAATAATAGCTATACAGATATTTTGCTCAGTGTTAACTAATGCATTAACTAATTTTAACAAATGAGTTACTGAATTATATTCTTAAGACAATTTATATATTTAGATAATTTATGCATGAATAATTTCTTGTTTTTTTATATTGTGGTGAGATGTATGTGTAAAGCTGATGGTTGACTGACCAGGTTTCAATGAGTTCATTTGATCCAATTAATTATGGCATGCTAAAACACATTTAATGCACCGCCTAAAGCATCGTAAGCCTAAGTTGATTGTAGCTCCATTAGTTTCAATGGGTCTACCATGTACTTATGCTTGCAATGCTTTAGTGAAACACAGCCCAGACCTCTACGTCATCCTACATTGATGCAGTTGCTGATGAACGTGATGCAGGACGACTGACTGCGTGATGAAGCCTATTAGAATGCAGTTATATGAGCCTAAAATTCAAGATATGAGTGCAAAAAATCACACTATATGGGTTTTTGTCACAGTAGAACTGTTGAGCGCCTCTAATGAATCCACGTTTTCGAACGAATCAAGTGAATCAGTGATTCAGTGACTTATTCATAAAGACAGTCGCTTGCTTTATTTCTGAATGAATCAGCTGTTTGAACGAATTGAATGAGGTGATGATTCAATGACTCCTTCATAAGGACAGTCGCTTGTTTTTTGTTTCTGATCAAATGAGCCGTTTGAATGAATCGAGCGAGACAATGATTCAGTGACTCCTTCATAAAGACAGTCACTTGCTTCGTTTCTGACCGAAGCAGCCATTTAATCCAATCTAGTGAGGCAATGATTCAGTAATACGTTAATAAAGACAAGTTGCTTGTCTCGGCTGTGTCCGAAAACTGGAAAATGCTGCCTTCAGAAGACATTCCTTCATAAGGATGATTGCTTGCTTCATTTCTGATCAAATGAGCCATTTGAATGAATCGAGCGAGCCAATGATTCAGTGACTCCTTCATAAAGACAGTCACTTGCTTCGTTTCTGACCGAAGCAGCCATTTAATCCAATCTAGTGAGGCAATGATTCAGTAATACGTTGATAAAGACAAGTTGCTTGTCTCGGCTGTGTCCGAAAACTGGAAAATGCTGCCTTCAGAAGACACATTTCAAGGTAGGAAGGCATGAAGGCATATCCGAATCCAATGTCAGCTTCACATCTGAGACGCCTTCATCTGATGGATTTTTGAAGGCAGCATAGATGTATAGTGTCTTACAAGTCTGCCTGATCAGAGGTGGCCCTCACTGAATGAATCAAGTGAGCCAATGATTCAGTGATTCATTTATAAATCAGTCAAACGTGTGATTGAATGATTCGCTCATTGAGACAGTGAATTGTTGTTTTAGTTTCATATTTTCAGTATCATAAAAATCACTTCATATTTCAATATTCAACTTTTTAACCCATTAATGTCCATTTAAAACCCATTGACCTCATAGCATTATTGATGCAATTCTAATTGCCACTTCAGATGCAGCTTCTGAAAACAATGTTATGTGTAATACCTTCAAAATATTCATTTTAAAGCTACTTTTTGTCATGTCTATTCAATGCTTTTCTCATTTAACACACTAATGACATGAAATGATCTTTTTTGGGGGGTAATTTCTCAACCCAAATTGATGTGTGATTCATTTGTAATTGATTCAGATAATTAATAGGTGCATCATGTTATTATTTCGATTAAACATTTTAATCACTCGCAGCATTGTTTGTAAAAATCGATCTGAATCGGAGACATTATGATAAAGCAGCATCAGAATGCTTTGACTGATTGTAATGGCACGCATAAGAACAGCAGTGTAGTGAACTTGATTTTCAGCGGTTTCATGCCTTTAAAGTTGGGTCTTATCCGTGCGTCGTAACCTGACGTTCTGCCCATCAGTTTGTCCAGGAAATCAGAGGGAGACATCGCAGATGAAGATTCACGTCCCGTTATTCTCTCGTACTCTTTTCCTGCGGTTATCCTGAGACACAGTAAACATCACAAACATTCACTTATTTGAGAAACTCACTCTTAATATTCTTTATGGTTATCATTATTTTTATAGGCATAAACTAATGTTCCCGGAACTGTTTTTGGTAATGTTATAAAATAGGAAAACTGCTTGGCAAATTAACATCTCTAGAATAGAATTAAGTAGAAATTAAGTTAAATCAATTTTTTTATTTGATATCAATGCACTTGAGGCTCTTTGTCCTAGAGAATGAACCGAGGCAATAGAGCGGGGCTAGTTGTCACACTTTTACTCCACTGAATATCGTCTGAATGTCCATTTCTGTATAGACACAAACCGATATGAACTACAAACAAGTTATTTATCATGTCTACCTTTGTTGTTCAGAAACTGAGATACAGTTCATTTAACACAATTTGACCCTCATTGCGGGGTATGTTGTCACTATTGACACAAATAAAAGAAACAGCAAAAATGTCATATCACAATTAATGAAATATGTGACCGTTTCAGTTCATTGCATTAAGTTAAACTACTTTGTAGTGATTTTTGTCTTCATGTAAGTCAGTGAGGTTTTATTTTGTCTACTTATATGGCACAGATATGACACTGGATGACACAGAATGCACACAAATATTCTAGATATTGAAGTAGATATTCAGAAATCAACAGAGCAATGCTATTTGTGTACTTCTGACTAAACCCCTCAGTTACTGAGATATTGACCTTGCGTTGTGACAACGCACCCCAGCTTCCTCTACCTATAGAATCACACAAATAGAATGGAATCTGCATTGATCCGCACGCATTCAGATTTGAACGAAGCCTAAGCAGTTGTTGCTTTAACAGCCGAAGAAGTGAAGCACCTACCTGAAGTTGTGCATTTCTATCAAGCACGCGAGTAAAGTTGTGAGGAGTTTTACAGAAGGGCGAGTCATTCCTCTGGCCATGGGCTCAGAAACGCGCCCTGAACGAACGCCAGTCGTGTTTGATTCCGAGCTAAAACACAGCCGGAGGATTCCGCAGGTGAAGCCACTTCAGCCCAGAATCTCATGGTTCGTCAGTGTGGAAGGTTGTTACGCGTCCCCAGCGCGTCTAAAATCATTCTGCGCTCGAATCAGACGATTAGAGATGACGGATGCAGTCCTGTCTGACGTTAAACGGTGTGTTTTCGGAGTGAGACGCGTCTGTCACCGCTGGAGAAGCTCTTCTGATGACAGACGCTGGATTGTGCGCCGGGTTCAGCACTTGGACAGCTCCGCGCCTCTCTGTGCGCATGCGCAACGAATCCGAAGTGGCGGATCGTGAGCGGATTCTTAATCTGAAATGTTGATTAGGGAGTTTTTAAGAGTTAACCACCGAGTTAAGTCTCGGTTAAGTTAAGGCTTGTACCCTCCGCCCCATGAAGTAGCCTAACTCAAAACAATATGTTTGTTTTAAAAGTATGTAGTAGTGCTGGGCGGTATGACCAAAAATTTATATCACGGTATTTTTCACAATTATACCGGTTTCACGGTGCATGACGGTATTTTTTTCATGCATGACCGGGTGTTAAGCATATTTTCTACTGATTGAGAGGAAATACTGCAGTATATTGACTTAGAATGCACTATTTTACTGTCATGATGAGTGAATATATTTCAGTTTTTACTTTTGCTGATTTGAAGCGTCTAGCAGCACCAGCATTTGTGCCTGCGTGTATTTATCCAACTTTCACTAGTTTGAATGTTATTAAAATCGACATTCTAATTTCAAATTACGCTTTATTTATTTAGCAGTGATGAACATACATTTAAAAAGCAATTGCAACATGTCAGTTATATCAAAACAAATACTAAATTAAACAAATAGGCATACAATAATAACATTTTTCACATTTCTATAATCAATTAAGATACATACAGTGTGGATAAATAATTAAAAGTATAGTATAGGCTTTACAGTAATTTACAGTTTTTTGGCTTTGTTATTTCTTATTTCTGTTAAGGTGTACAAGTAGTGACCTATTTCTATTTTAAAATAAGTAACAATAGTTTTTTTTAGTTTATAGTTATTGTGGATAAAGAATTTTCCATATGAGTACATTTATAATATACCATATATTAAAATTGATATCATTATCATAAAAAATATCTTATTTTTAGTTGAAATCCAATGTTTGTATTAAAACATACTGTGAATATATAGGCTAGGTCCATTTAAAAATCTGGTGCACTGTAAAAAATGATTGTGATTTTAACAGAGGATTCGTTCATGCAAAACAGTTCATTTGTGGGTGAGCTAGTGCTTTTAGACATTATTGTGGTTGACTAAAACTCAAAAGCTGCGGTTCAGGATTATGAAATATAAAAACTAATGCAAGAGAGGTGCCTCTATGTCTCTTCATGAGACAAGTGCAATTGCCCCGGCCGAAGGTGCGATCATCAAACTGGTCATTAAATCCTGTGAGCGATGACCTTTGGTCTGGTTGGAAGGCTAATTATATAGGAGACGCCTGGTTTAATTAAGCTGTGGTCAGAGAGTGGCCTTTTTATACATTCTTATATAATACAGTCATTAAATCTGAACTGTATGCTGTCATAATATCATCGTTTAAAGCTGTAACGAATGAAAAATCAATGAAGGTCTCTGTATATGTCAGCTCCATGTTTCTTATGTGACACATTATCCTTCAATCAGACGGCTGCGGAACAAAAAAAGAGAGAAAGGAACAATTTTTGCTTTAAATAAAGCTCCAGACCAGTCATTAATCCACTGGAGAAAAGCATCTTTCTCAGAAAACACTGGCAGTTCTGTTCAGTAAATCTGACTGAATCCACATTATGTTATGCTTTAGCTGAAGTTTGTGTCTTTTGTAAAGGGTTTACTATTAGGATGCAAATGTGATATTCCTCTTTTAAATGATTTTTCAGGATGATCCAGCCGCAGCTCTGAAATGCAGCAGAGCCGGCGTTGTGTGAAAGCTCAACGCATGCGGACGTGTGAAACAGGCCTCAAGGTACGGCAGTCAGAAGGGGTTATTTTACAGTATAGGTGTCAAATAAAAGGTCTTAGCATCTGCACAGATGACAGATGCCTAGATGCGCGTGGAAATATGGTAAATATAGAGCAGACAGTTGTGCATTTACCAGCGAATTTTCATTGGGAAAGAAAATGTTCTGAAAGTGGTTCCTCTGTGTTGTTATCGTTACAATTAGAGCTATTTTTAAAACTTTATTGTTATTGTCGTTGGTGTGATCAGGCCTTAAAGGAATAGTTCACCCAAGAATGAAAATGTGCTCACTCTCAGATCATGCAAGATCAGGATGAGTTTGCTTCTTCATCAGATTTGGAGAAATGTAGCATTGCATCAGTGTCTCAGCAATGGATGCTCTGCAGTGAATGGGTGCCGTCAGAATGAGAGTCAAAACAGCTGATAAAAACATCACAATAATCCACAAGTAATCCACAGCACTCCAGTCCATCAGTTAACATCTGGAGAAAACAAAAGCTGAAACAAATCCAGCATTAAGATGTTTTAACTTTTAAACCATTGGTAAAATACGAGTCCATAATCCATAATAATGCTTCCTCCGGTGAAAAAGTGTTCTGGTGTGAATCAGGAGAGAAATCTGCACAGATCAAGCAGCATTTAAACAGTTCTGAACAAATATGTGGCTGGATTTTGATGTGTGAGACAACAGCAGATGCCCTTTTTAACTCGAGGAAGTGTTATTATGGATTATGGACTCGTTAAAAACATCTTAATGATGGATTAGTTTCAGCTTTTGTCTTCTCCAGATGTTAACTGATGGACTGGAGTGGTGTGGATTACTTGTGGATTATTGTGATGTTTTTATCAGCTGTTTGGACTCTCATTCTGACGGCACCCATTCACTGCAGAGCATCCATTGCTGAGACACTGATGCAATGCTACATTTCTCCAAATCTTCACTGCAAACATCTGAAGGTGAAACATAATCTCAGAGCTTCAGTGCAGGGTTTGTGTTATTGAATGTTTAGTAATGCAGGGATGCGCTTTGCTCAATAATTGAACACACGTTTTCAGTCCGAACGGTTGCACATTCAAAAATATATGCTTTTTCAAGCTTCAGCTGCTACAGGAAGCACTATAAGTGAAGTTCCATCCTTTATTTATAGAGGGATAAAACGGCACTCTATGCCATCAAAACTCCAGTGTACATGATGACAATATTTCAGCTCTTACAGCAATCCCTTCACTGGCTCAGAGAAGGAACTCAGGACACTGTTTCTGCCGTACTCTGCCGCCGACGGCCCTTCATCAAGCCGTTCAGCTCAGACTCATTGACGGCATGACATATATGGCCTTAAAGTTTCCTGAAGAGTCATGAGTACTGATGTGTGTGTGTGTGTGTGTGTGTGTGTTTATGTGTGTGTGTGTCTGTGTGTGTGTGTTTGTGTGTGTGTCTGTGTGTGTGTGTGTGTGTGTGTGTGTGTGTGTGTGTGTGTGTGTGTGTGTGTTTGTGTGTGTGACAACTTCACAACTTCAAGAACTGATCACTGAAATGGTTCTTCTATGGCCTCGCTGTGAAAAGCCCTTATTTTTAAGAGTGCATGTCAGAATGAATCAGAACAGTCAATGAGAAAAAATGTGCTGTAACAGTGCATGTGTGTGGGTGTAGGTGTGTGTGTGTGTGTGTGTGTGTGTGTGTGTGTGTGTGTGTGTGTGTGTGTGTGTGTGTGTGTGTGTGTCTGTGTGTGTGTGTGTTTGTGTGTGTGACAACTTCCTCTATTTAAGAACTGATCACTGAAATGGTTCTTCTATGGCCTCGCTGTGAAAAGCCCTTATTTTTAAGAGTGCATGTCAGAATGAATCAGAACAGTCAATGAGAAAAAATGTGCTGTAACAGTGAAGTATTTCCCAGTTTATCTGACAGAAGACATCAGCTGCGTTCAATCCGTCACGCTCCAAACCTGCTTCTACAAGAAGCGGCTCTGTTGTTGTGCATGTAAAGGTGTGGATGTTCACCTTCGTCACATTCAGAACCGAATCCAAACAATCACTGCCATGCGTTTGGCAGGTTTTCTTATTTCATATGACAAATCTTCATCTCGACTGGGTCGTGGCAATACAAACGGTGCAGCTATTAGAATGATGGCCAATCTAAAGACACTGCTGTTCTCAATCTGACAGCGACTCGACTCCTGTAACGAACTGATGGAGACAGCTCAAGGAAGACGGCCACTGGCTGAAGGCTGAACGACTGCAAAATATCTCGCAAAAACAGTTTATAACGCGTCAGTGAAGATAATTCATGCAGACAAAGTACCAGCACAGAAACTACAGCTGCACACCACACGGCTTTGGCATGTCATTCGTGGTTAGAGATGCATTTCTGCACGCTTTATTTACAGTATTTCTATGTGATTTATACAGTGATTCAAATACACATCACAGCAAAATTATCAAATCATATAACCAAATGAAATCTTGAACTATTAGGTGCAAATTAGCTGGTGTGTTGTGGCACAAACCCATACAAAATTAAAGTAAATTAAATAAAAAAAATTTAATTAAATAGTAGTCTTAATAAATTCAATGTCTTTTTAGTAAGTTTTTAATTTGTGTGATAAACACAACAGTATGAACAGTAAAGAAATACTATTAAAATATAATAAATTTTATACGTTTGACTTATACATTACAAACGTGAAATTAAGATAAAGTCTTCCACTATTTGGTGCAAATTAACTCTTTTGTTGTGGCACAAACCCATAAAAAATGTTTTTATTAAATTAAATTGTAGACTTTAAAATAAAAATAATATCAAAAGATTAAATTAATTTAAAAAATACATTTTAAGGCTTAATAAATTCAGTGTCTTTTTAGTAAGTTTTGAACGGTGTGAACAGTAAAGAAATACTATTATATGTATATTTTTGATTATACATTAATTTTATACGTTTACATTACAAACATGAAATTAAGATAAAGTTTTCCACTATTAAGTGCAGTCTGTTGTGTTGTGGCTCAATCCTATAAACTAAACTAAAATAAAATAAAAGAATAGACTTTCAAATCAAAATGATTATGGCTGTTAAAAGATTTAATTAATTACAAACTATTAAACTTTAACACTTAGGCTTAATGCATTCAATATAATGTGTTTTTAATACATTTTGTCAGTTTGTAGTGGAATAAATTAACAAAGAAACTCTCCACAATTTCTCCACAACAACAA